GTAAAGCCCGTTAGGGAAGCCCGTAGAGTGCTCGGTTTTAACTCGTGAGTTTTGCCTTAGGAGTAGAGTATTCTTGCCTCAGTGTTTATGTTCTCTTTCACTTGAGTAAACTTTACTGGAAATTAGACTAAAAGAAACCTGAAGCAGACTTGTATCTTGGCCTTCAGTATGTTTGCTTTAGGAACTTGATATCCATGTGATTTCAAAGAAGGTTTGCCTGCACTGGAGCTTCATAACTTGTTCCAGAATGAACATGTTATTCTTAGCCTGAGTAGATTTGTTCCATAGTTATAGTTTCTTACTGCAGAATGTTCTGTGAACATCACGTATGAGTGTGTGTTCCTGTGTGTGTAAAGAATAATAATTGAGTGCATGGAAGGCTGTGATTTGAAAACATTGTGGCCGTTGTCTTTGAAGTCACCTTGTAATGTTATTGTACAGTAGGATAAGCAATGGTCCTTGTACTAAACATCTGTGTAGATTCCAGATGGTTATCATGGACCAGTCTTCGTATGATCAAAGCAATCCACACATATACAGACTTTGCCTTTTGCAAGAGGCAAGCATTTCCTTACAATTCATGTATGGCAAGAGACCATTTAGATGAGTTTACCTTGTTAAAAGGCCTTCAGCAGCAGTGGTGAATTGCAACAGAGAAGTCTCTTCATATGTTTGAAGCAAGCCAGGACTAAGCAAATTTTAGGTATCTGGAAACTGCATTTAGAACGCAGGACAAGAAGTTTCCCTGAGAAATTTGTCTTTAAAATGGGTGGAATTCAGTTGTTGATCACAGATGATGTGGTTTGTTTGGCAGGTTCCCCCAGGAATATAAATATAGGTTAGAGCATATATTTGCCCCCTAGGACTGCTTGCTACATACACTATGCAATGCAATCCTTCATCAAAGGTTCTGGATAGCCCTTCTGACAGAAACAACAGTCTTTGCGAACCAAGTGCAGGATTGCAAACAGGAGGTTCATACTGGACTGGGAAGACAGTCTCTGAGAGCAGGAATCCCATGTATTACCCACAAGAAAAGATATTAGCAAATTTCAAGGTGCCTGGGTAATTTAAATGCTTAAGACCCATTGACCTTCAATGAGATTTAGGAGCCAGGGCTACCAAAGGCTATGGATATAAAATTCATGAAACTTACCTTTTGGACAATTCATAATGTGAAAGTCTAAAACAGTCTATACAAGACCAATAGGTACCTTGTACGACCATAAGGTAAGGTAGGTGTACTGCAGTATGTTAGTACACAGCAGTCAGACACAAATTTGCTCTGCTGTTGTTCTGAGATCACCAAAGTGGTTGTATTAATACGCTGCTGAGCCTTCACTTAGCAACAAGGTTGTATGACCTCAAACCTACACCTTCGTCAACCTGGTCACATTGCTTTTAGTAATATTGTAGTTTGGCCCGAGGTTGCTCATTATCTACCTGCAAAAGGCTGGTAGAAACTAATTTAGTTGTAAGAGAAAGCTGTGGTGTACAAGATAGAAAATGGGAAGATGAGATGTGAAGGAAGTTGATAGAAGAGATGGTGGTGCTGGTTCCTCTCCAGCCTTCCTTCAGTGGCTAAATGGTTAGAGCATAATTTTAGGAAATTCAAAGCTGCATTCCTTTCCTACCTGCTACCGCTACTGGGAGAATATCTTGTGGTCCACTTTGGTGAATATATTCCTCTATGTTTTGGATACTAGATCTTGGAATAACGTCTGAAACAAGGCCTCCCTCTCCCTAATAAGTTTTTGAGCAGTTGGGCTAGAGAGCCATTCTTAATCTTTTTGGCCTAATGTATCCTGAGGTGGTAGTCAGAACCATTGAGTGGGGGAGAACATACAGTCATGTATCCAAGCCACATCATCAGAATTGTCTACACTGGAACATCCAAGATTTCTGGATTTCAACTATATGCCATCATCTAAAAATCTGAAGAGCCTGCATGTGGGATGGGTCTCAACATAGGAAAGATGGGTCTCAGCATGGCAGAGCCACTTTGTGCTGCTGTCTGCACCGTGGAATGAGCTCTGGACTTCTCCAGAGGGCTCAAATATGCTGGGAAATGGAGGGTGCTGGAGAAGGGGAGAGGAGACCCCTGAAACCCTACTGGCCTCTTACCTGGTCTAAGCCTTGTGAAAAAACTGGTGGGATCATGACGCTGATATAATTTAAATCTTTCAGTGTGCGTGTGTTGACCTATTTCTTTATATAGGTAGATAGAGAGGTAAAATGTGTGCCCTGGTGAGTCAGCTCTGGGAGCTGTCGCTAGAAAGGAACCTTTGTGGAACGCCTCCTTTCAGCATTTCTTCTTTATTTAGTTGTGGCCACCTTAGCACTCTGGCTTCTGTAACCTATGCTAAATGCCTAGCCCTCTTCAGGCACTCTAGAGTGACTGTAGGTGCTTAACTGAGTTGTGCGCAGCAGACTTGGCTTCATTCTGCTACCAAGCCTAAATGCCCTTTGGAAAGATAGCTGTGGCAGCTCTGTAGGTTTTGAGACTTGTGGTTACAGACCGTTTTGAGAATTTCACCTAAGATTTTCAACAGTGGAGGAGGTATTCACTTTGCCTTGAGTGTCATAGTAAGCACAGGTGAAAGTATTAGACCAGCGAAGGAGAACCCAGCCCACAGTCACAAGAATTGAGGTCCTTGAATATCACTGTAAAGCATCCCTGGAAGTCAGTGTGAAGTGCCAGTCATTGGAGAATAAGCTTATGCGATGAGAAATCTGGCTACTGAGCGTGATACGAGCAAGAATTTGCCAATAAGCTTGGCAGGTGATTCAGGAGATGAAGAATTACAGTAATCAAATCAACATGTTTTCGAAGCATGAGTTAGAGTCTGCAGGTCAGAGCACATTCTGGCACTTGTGTTCCTACATGGGTCAAAGCAACATTTGGTAACACTTCTAACATGTGCTGACAGAGATAGAGAGTAATGTTAGACTCAGAAGAAACTGATGCAGCATTGTAGTCATGAAATGACTAAATGGTCAGGAAAACCAAACACAAAGATTTCAGTTTTATTAGTAATTATATAAATATTCTGCTATCTATAAATTCAGGGATGAGGTATACAAGACTTTGCTCTGTCTGCCCCAATATCCTCTGGAAGAAAGAGGAAGATACTGCCTATTTGCAAAATAATGGTGTAAGTATCACCCAGATTATCACACCTGCCCTCTTTTGCCACTTTCTAATAATTTTTTTTCTCCATGGTATTTCTTTTCTTGGTGGCCAAGTCTCTCTGTAAAATACCGTGTTACTAGAAACACTTGGAAAACTTTGGAGACCTCCTAATGGGAAATGTTGTGAAAAGTGGCTATGGTTGTGTAATTTTTCCATGAGAAAATAACTGGTCACCAAAAGGCATTAAAAAAAACCCCAAACGAAAAAAAACCCCAAAATTCTGCAATCAAAGGAAATAAAAGGTACAAAAGGGAAACAGGAAATACCTAAACTATGCCAGGACAGTGGCAAAAAGCCTTGTAGAAGTAAGACAAAGAGCTCATCATGCTTTGGTTAAAAACAGGGTGCTCAGTATGGAGCTGATTGCAGTGGTGTGGTTTGTGTTTTCCACGTGATTGGGCTACATGATGTATTGCCCTGGAAGCCTCCTGTTCTGCAGAAGACCTAGAATTCCTCAGCAGATACCGAATCCCCTGTAATTCAGCAGACTCTTATTCTGTAAACTTTGTGTGAGCAATTCTTTGTCAGTGATGGGTTTTAATTAGATTTTTTTCCACAGTTAGAGTTTGTTCTTACTTATTTGCTTCCATTAGAAATTAGCTTAGGAGGAAAAAAACCCATCTTCTATGGCTCCTTGAAAAAATGAGGTGTCCTTCAGATGATTTTGCCTAAGAGGTAACAGTTACCTGAGCAGAAGGGAAGGAAGGAGGCTAGTCAGTTGAAATTGTAGATACTGCCCCATGAAGGGCAGCAGCTGTTTTCTTTCTACTTTTTTAATGAAGGTTCTCTATATTTGCTTTGACTCTGAAAGTGTGGAAGCTGTGAAGCAGTGAGAGCAATTACCAGTGCTGGGAGGTCTGGAAAATGGGGAGAAAGTCCCACAAACCAGCCTGGATTTGGTGTCTTTGAACCATCCAAATCAAACACAGACTTTATGAGAGTTTCCAAGTCGCCAGTGGAAACTCAGGGTCTGGAAATTGTAGTTTTGACACCTACTTCAGTTCGACACCACTTATTGTGATCGCTGTGTGTAGAAAGTGTTTTTGTAGGATGCCATAGTTGTAGTGCAGAAGGAGATGAAAAGCTGGAAGAAGGTAGTGCCTTCTCTGGGTTACTAGATCTGTGATCTCCATGGATCAGACCCAATGATAGAAATTTAGGGCCATTAGCAAGTGCAGGAACACAACATGGCTGTGCATGTTGGAACATCAGAGTTTCATGACTGGGAAATTCTTAGATTGGGCTCCTTGTGGGGGGACAAATTTTGACTGTGTGCACACTCCTTTCTTGTGTTTTAGCAAGACTCTGCAATAACCCACAGTAACTCCATTTATGCTTAGAACCATTTTATGCTGATCCACTGTTTGGTGGGTGAATGTTTGAAGGAAAATTTGCTGTAGCATTAAAAATTTGACTTTTCTGGGCCACACAGAAATTTACAGACAGCTTTGTAAGGCTCTGAGGATTCTTCTGACTTAAAGTAGTTGCACCTTGGTATAGTCCAGAGGCAGCTTTCCAGCAGGAAGTGCAGCCTGGAAACTGGCCGATGTCTCTGCATACCACCTCGATGAAACCACCATGGCAGCAGGCATGGTTAAGAACAAAAAAGGAATGCCATGTTTCCCTTGAGAGGCTGTCAGGGAAGGGAGGGAAAAAGAACCAAATAATTCTTTATTTTTACCTCCTACTTTCTCTGCCATCTGTTTTTAGATGAAAAATAACATATGGAACTATAATCCTGGTTAAATAATAAACACTGCACACAGTTTTGTTCAAAATGTGACTCTGATGAGTACTATTTCCTTAGGTTTACCAGGCGAGAAAGGAGAAAAAGGCAATCCAGGTGTTGGAACACAAGGACCCCGAGGCCCACCAGGATCTACAGGTAAAGTTGTTACGTTTGAGGCATCTGAACTAGACCACTCTGACCCATGCGCAAAGCAGCTAAGACCTGCATAGCTCTGTCCTCCGCTTCTAAAGCTTAAGCAGCAGAAGAGTCAGTAGTTCAGGCACCTTAACTGTCATAATGTTCTTACTATGTAATATGATGTTGTGATGTGCCATGTGATGGTGTCATCAGTCACACAAGTATTTTTCTTTTCCCTAAACTGCTTCTCCAAAACCTTTTTTTAATGTTTTAAGTATTTTCTTCCGAGATGGGGTCTGGAAGTGGAAAATATGAATCTGGATTAATTGGATTTGTTTTCTCATTCACTCCAGGTCATACGTAACTGTGACTTGACAGAGAAATGTATGTTAATTAAGCACATTAATCACAGGGATTTATATTTAGCTCCTGAAAAAGCAGAGAGGATGATATCCAGGTCCTGTTGAAACAGATGTAAGATTGCATTGACTTCATGAGGATATTCTGACCATTAGAGCACCGGTATCAAGGCACTGCATTACCCAGAAGCTGTATTGAAAGGGAGTGGGGGAATCAAGAGCTGCGCAGGCATCCAGGGCTGTCCTCTCCCCATGAGACTGCCTTTCCAAATGTCTGATGCTTGGTGAATCATTTGCTCTAGTATAAACTTATGGCTAAAAGCTGTCTCTGGCAAGGAAGAAGCAGCGGCGGCCAGAGGGGAGGCTCATCAGGAGCAGGTCTTCTCTCTGGCCACTGCTTCGTCTTTCTTGCCAGAGGAAGGGTGCAGCCTTTCCCTCTGCTTGCCTGGGGAAGTCAGAGCCGGGATGCCTGGCCCCTCTGCTCAAGCTGTCTCCTGGAAGTGTTTGTAGCGCGCTCAGTGCCTTGTTTTCCAGGCCTTGAAAAGGTGGCCTCAACTCCCTGCTTTTATGAAAGATGCTACTCAGATGTTTCATCTCCCGCTTCTACACAGGACCTCCAGGAGAAAGTCGAACTGGCAGCCCGGGACCACCAGGATCTCCAGGCCCACGAGGTCCTGCGGGTCACACAGGGCCCCCAGGCTCACAGGGTCCTTCTGGCCCACCGGGGTACTGCGATCCATCCTCCTGCGCTGGTTATGGCATGGGAGGTGAGTAGTCAGGACTCGGGGCGGCTGCCTTTCGCAGAGGCAGGGGTGGAATTTTCTAACAGCCAAAGTAAGATGGAGGCTACTGGTGAGCCTTGCACTGAAACGTGGTAGCTCCCTAAAAACAAGCGTGTCCAGACCCGCTGTATTTTGTGGGACTGCAGCACGAAGAGAAGGTGACCCCAGCGTAGTGACCAAAGGCAGTCCACCATCTGATCCCAGCCTGTAAAACAGATCCCGCGATATTTTTGTCCTGTACGTGTTTGTGTAGTTGTATGAGCCTGCGCCATCTCAATGGTCTGTGTTGAACCCCCTACCTCCTAATGTTCATGAGAGCACAGTTATTACATTTGTAGTTTTTCAAATGTGTTGCTCAACTTCCCCATCCGTGTGCCTCTGAATGGCATGAGAGCATGACCCTTACTAAACCCCTAGTAGTGTAACCTGACACAGGGATGCACGAGTCCATCATTAACCAGTGAAGCAATCTGGAGGAAATGGTTCTTTCTACATCTTCTCTGTATCCTACTTTCCCGTCTCGTGATAGCACGGAGAGGCCATGGGAGGAAGTTAACACAATTACCAAAAATTATGTTGCGCAACCTAAAATTGAAACTTCTAAGTAAAGCACTAGTTACTACAAATGTTACACATAAGGCGTATTTGTTTGATGTTGACGGTTTAATCTGCCCGTGAGCTGATTTGTATGTTGTACTTACCTGAATGTTTTTGTTGTCATCTCTTCCTGTCCTTTTCTCCTCACTTCCCCTCCCCGTTGTTCGTTTCCTGTTTCAAGGCCCAATCCCTTACAATGGCTACCCATCCAGAAGGTGAAAGGCTCATTCTGGTTCAGGTCTCATTTGGCTGAAGGTCAGAGATGGACGCTGAACTGCTCTGTGCTTTCCATCAACGATATTGACTACCACTAATGAACTTACTAGCTGCTGTACATGCACTTAGCTTCCTTGCACTGCTAAAAATGATTGCCTGACCCATTTTTTGCGTGTTAAATCATATATTCTAGACCGTAACTGGAATAAGCTAAAGCAGGCAGATTGTGCAGTGTATAATAAGCGCAGTATTACAACTGGACATTTGACAAATTCTGGTGGTGGTTTCCAACTAACTTGGCTGTCTGTTGGTGGGTTTCCAATTGCTCCAGCTTATTAATTTTGTTAAATGTTTTCACTGTTCCTTTATGTGGATAAAAGATGCGTATTTAAAGATTTTATATATATATATATATACTCACACACATTATATATAAATATAGCTATATACAAAATGTCAATTTCCTAATGAGTGCTTTAATTTTCTACTCCCCTTCTCCTGCGTTAACCGTATGAATACTCTCGGTGGTGGTGGGTTAAGGTGGATACGGTGAGCCAACTGATCAAGACATCCCAGTAGTGCAGTTGCCACATAACTCCTACCAAATCTATGACCCTGAGGACCTTTATGATGGTGAGCAACAGCCGTACGTAGTTCACGGGTCCTACCCCTTACCATCCCCATACTCCCAGTCCTCCTATCCATCACCTCATCTTGCTCAACCAGAGTTTACTCCTGTTCGAGAAGAGATGGAAGCCGTTGAACTGAGATCCCCAGGAATTAGTCGCTTCAGAAGGAAGATAGCCAAAAGGAGCGTCAAGACTCCAGTACGCAAAAGGGCGAATGGAAAAAACCCCTCTCAATGAACTCTTTAAAAAAGGAAACATTTTGTGTGCATCTGGGTTTGGCCTTTTCTCCAGGTGCCTAACCTGTCATGGAAGATGTTTACAGGCTCTTATATTAAAGGAAAAAAGTACATGACCAGTTGACACAACAAATAATGGTAATTATCTTGCATGCCAGAAACTTAGTATGTTAGTGGATTGGTGCTAGATGATGATGAAAGGTCACTTGTAGATCTTTCACTGGAGTACTCTTCCATATGCTATTCAAACAGCATCTAAAAAACCGCATCCGGCTAGTTCGTGTACGTGGAACCACTCTGAAAAGTTAGTGTTTTGTTATCCAGGTTTTTCCAGTTGATTATGTTCTGTTAGTTTTGGATGAATTGCTTTACTAGCAGAGTAACCTGACTAAATTCACCAGAGAACAATGCATAATCAGGTTTCCTTCAACCCAGCTTATTACCCTTTTGCAAAGAAGTCTTATGTTAATGGAATTTTTTTTTAACCCACATTATATTAATACACAAGAATTTTCCATGGGAACACACTGATAATTTATTGTGAACCTCTTTCACTTCTGTTTTATACACAAATAAAAGTGGCAAGCTTTTATATGTAATTTGTATTCGCTTGATTTTTAACTTGGAATAATTGTACAGATCGCCATGGGACAGAATGTAAAGAGAAGAAAATACATTTTCCTTTTTCAACACTTTTGGGCAACAGTTTTATTTTAAAGGATATAGGCACTTAGTACAAACAATACTTTGCCTTATTTTTTTAAATTATATATGAACAAGTGGAGAGAATAAATATGAGATGAGGTGGTCATACCATCTATGGACGTGAGATTTTGCATAGTGACCTGTCAAAGTCAGAAGACTGGCAGGTATAGTTGTGAAGGCAGGGAAGGAAAAACCCCAACCCAACCGCTTCAGAGGCACAACGCAATTCATTCTGTTAAAACAAACCAGGTACGTTACAAAGCGACCCAATAAAGAGCTCTGAACAGCACTATGGAGACTAAGCATCAAAGCAGGATTTAAAGTAGAAGCTCAAAAATGTTCATACGTTTAAGTTGAAGACATGGATTTGGAACACCTTTCATCCAGCCCTATGAAGACACGGAGAGAGGATGGCCTGTGGGTCCCAGGCCTGAGTTCCTGGGTTCGGACTGTTGGTGCTCGATACGGAAACACCTGTCAGGTTTTGCTTCTGGCCACTGCCAGACGTGTTCTCTCAGCTCATCAGGGAGGCGGCCAATGGGTACCTTTGCTGTGTAATCGCAAATTAACTGGCCTAGAATTCAGCCTCATTGCTAACACAAACCATGGATACGTGTGACTTAACACCCACAGCTGTGTGTACCCAAGGGCAAGTCCTGGCTAGGCAGCTGTATAACTTTCTATGCTGTGGTTCTGTTTTGCTGTTATATTCTCTCACCCCCTAACTCCCACCACTTTCTTGGAGAAAGGTGAGAAAAGCTGATGGAAATGTGAGTTGAATGTCATTTCCTTACCTGGACTTGCATTTAAAGAAGGAAGAAGTAATAGAACTTACGGACTTTAAGCAGCTTAACCTCAGTTTACAGAGTAACGAGGCACCACGTGAGCATGGCTGTGTGCACACATGTAGGTAGCACAGCCTGGCACACATAGCTGACATTCACAGAGATATTAAAATTAAATACAGGCTCTGGCTGCATCACGTGAGTCATTTCCCTGCTTGCACTTGGCTGTGAACACCCAGCTTAACCTACCTGCAATGTGAACGCTCTCTCTGCCCCCTCCCCAGCTGGTGCTCTCCCACCCACCTGTGGTACTGAGGCCTTCTGGGGGGTCTCCCCCATCATATGTCAAATTGTAGGTCCTGTGGAAGCGACTCCAAGGTCACCGATGGAAAAATCAGCATTCAGGCAATTCTGCCTGTATTGTCTTGGAAAGACTTTGAGCCTCACATTACAGTTTGTAATAAATTTGCACCCTAGACTAGTTGTCAAGCAACACGATATCCAAATCTCACGTTCCTGTAGGACCAGGAAGAGTGGCAGGGCAAAACCAGGCAGGTGGGGAAGACAGCACAGACATCATCAAACCCTTCAAAATGAGGCAACTGTTGGTGTTTGCCCCATGTTTGAAATGGATGGCAACAGCCTGACCAAATCCCCGAGTGTGCCCATGCTGTGCAGTCGGTGTCCCCTACACCGTGCCCCTCCAACAGCTCCCCCACCAGAGGCGCAGCTGGCAGCAGCACGGCGCCCTTCTGCCCGCGGGTCCCCGGCTGTGGGACACGCACCCCACCGGCTGCCGGCACAACCACCACCACCTGCCTCACGCCATACGGGAGGTACATGCAGCAAGTTAAACAACTGAAGAGGTTGCTTGCGGCTAATAAGGTATTCTTACTACAATTTTATAACCTAATTTATATACTAAAGCACAAACTTTAACTGCACTAGTTAATTTGCTTTAACTTTGTATTTCTAAAAATGAGATTTACTGGCACTCCGCTGAGCAGAATGCTTCATGTATCATTGGACACATGTTCACTTGCTGGGTATACCTTGGTAATAAAAGTAACTGGTGAGCACTACCAAGTTATAAAAATATTACTCAGGATTTGTAGGTTCGCCAAAAAAAGTAAGACACAGACATACATGGTCAACATTTTCTCCAAAATTCAGTCTCTGAATAATCAGGAGTGTCTCGTATTTTTCCAGATGGCCTAAGAAACTTAAGTTCCTGACTGTGAGGTATTTAGGACATGATGAACAGCTGATACCACCCATGTCTTTCTTACCAATAAAGTATATGTACTGTGTCCGTACACAAAAGAGAGCACTTACTTTAACCTATTGCTTTTAAAAAAATACTTTTACTAGTTAGTTAACTAAATGTGGGTACTGACTTGGAAATGAAATCTGCATGTTCACTGGATAGGAACGTTTCCTGGGATAAGCCCATCTGGATGTCAAAGAAATGCCCAATACCAAACCATTATTTCATATAATGAAATACGATTATAAATAAAACAATATTTTTCTTCCTATATGATGCTTGTATAAAACAGATATAGAAAACACAACTTTTCTTCACCAAACATTGTAAAATTTGTCAGCACATCAGCATCTTCTACTATACAGAAAACAACAGGTGCTTCATTTATTTACACAACAGCTTTGGCTGCAGGGTTATGTGTGCAGAAAAGCGGTAATGAACGTCAAGGAAGTAATGTGCAGAAGCAAAATAATTTTTAAGACTTACTTTGCATCATTCAACACTTAAGTTCAGTTTCCTCACTTGGTTTTCATAATAAAAATGTTGCTGCTTCGTTCTTTAAGTAAGGAAGGGGTGTTCCCGTGCCTTGAAGAGTATGTCCATATGATCTGCCTTTACTGTCTGTTATTTCAATAAGCTCTTTTTAACAAAATCTATACTATGCTGCGTTGTCAGCAGACCTACTCCTAGAGAGGAAGAGCCACTTAAGAAAATATATTGCACAGCTCCAAATGGGTGTTTTAGTTGGTAAACAAACAGCACTGCAACTCCAAAGCGTGCAGTCTTCAAAAGCTATGGCTAGACAGAGTGGTGTTCTGCTTGTCCACTTTCTAAGGCAGACAGAGCATCATGGGTATCAACTCTCCTGCTGAGCATCAGTAACATCTCTGTATCAAGAATGAAATAGTATTAGGAATATATTTAATACCATTCAACAGCTAGAAAGTAGAGAAGAGTCAACTCTGATGTTGTCATTCAGCACACTAGAGATTTAAATGCAGAGCAGACTAGCAAGAGTCTGAAAAACAGTAAGATTATATAAAAAAAGTAGTTTTCATTCTGTTCATTACTTGCCTACATTGATTACGCAGTTCCTGGAGGTACAGCTTTCCCACTAACTTGGTTTCCTGTTTGGATGCTATCTAGCAGACAGTACCACCTCTGAAATTCAGGCTGTCCTTGCTGCTCTGCAGTATTCCAGCAATACGTTCTGTCAGAACTGAAACGTCACTCTTCCGGCATCCTAGAAACTCCAGACACTGCAAAACGCTGCAGTCTTCCTCCCTGTAGCAAACAGGACCTCTGTAAAGCAAAAACTGATTTCCCTTTAGCTTAATTTTTGGTGTTCCAAGCACACCACATGGCATACCATATCAAAAGATGGCCAAAGCTTCACGACACAAAATTATGGTCAGTGACCAAATACTTCCTCGGTCATAATGAACAGGCTAAACCACAGGCAAACCATGTTCTGCAGAAAAACTCTTTCTAGAAGGCTGCTGAAGACTGCAAGATAAACTCCCACAGGGCATAAAGAATGACCACCACAAAACTCACCACCACCTCATTGCTCCAAGACACACCTTTTACTAATATTTTTCTTACTACAGTATGCATGCATATATATTTGGCAACTGCACTGCTTTCTCTGAAGAACTGTGTTTTTCTAAAGTAATTTGGCTCCAGAATAAGTTTGATTTTGCTTACCATCACCACAGTAACTTCAGTGGGCATATTCACCTCAAAAAATAAGGAAACTGCAGGCCTGCATCAACGTGCATTCAGCAAAATCTCACCATTAATTTCATATGGTATATACACTCCGCATTCTAGAGAGGCTCTAAGAAGAACTGTATAATCTATTACAGAAGTAATAAGCAGCTCAAGCCACTGGTTTTTTTTTTACATCCCCCAAAGAGAGAATGAGTTCTACATGAACAATTCCCTTTTTCTGAACTAAGACTGGCATTCTCTCATTCATCAAGCTGTGCAAGGGAGGATCACCTGTTTTACCAGAAGAGTTTATGTTTATCAGAACATGTACTGACAGCGTGCCATTCCTGGGAACTCTGTGACCATAATTATTTACTGCTCTTATTGCATGGAATTCAAGTTTTGCAACTTTTAGAATGAGATACTTAATTTCAGTAAACAACGTACTGTTTCTAGGAGATGTAAATATTCATTAAAAATGTATCAATTCTTTAATAACAGTATTAAAACAAATGTAATTAACACATACCAGATCATACAACACAGAGTACAAGTGGTATTAACAATATAGTATCTATTCTTAGCTGTTTCAAATACAGTAACTTTTATAATCTTTCCAAATAAAGTTTGCTAACATCTGTCAAAACCATTCTGTATAGAAGGGTTGACTGAGATGCACAGATGCTTCCGTGTGAGAATTTTTTTTCAAGGAGGAGAAACATTCCTGATGGCACTTCTTCTTTTATTGGTATTACTTCCGTCGAAAATCTTTAGGTCTGGAAAAAAAAAAAAGGTGCTTTAAGAAATGTATGGGAAATACAGTGGCTTTGCTTTAAGGATGCAGTAACAGCCGTATCTATTTTTATTTCCTTATTCTGGTGCTTGAAGGTTTTGTGCTGAAGAAGAATATTTTTTTCTGGATTACATAAAAAGGACAGAATAAATCAAAGGAGTTTGCTAAGTCCTCTAAGAATTTACAGACATGAGGACTAGTTGATCAAGGTGTTTCTTACAAGCCACTCCTACTTTCCTAAGCAAAACAAAAAGCATCTTTAACTGAATGCAGTATCGCAATGACTTTAAACACTAGTATTAATTTTTCTCCACTTTTAAAAAATGAA